GCCACTGCACTCCAGTCTGAGCGACAGAGTGAGACTCCAACTCAAAAACAAAAAACAAAAAACAAACAAAAAAACCCTAACTGATCTTTAGGCCATACTCACCTTTATCCAGCGTATGCGTAGATCACAGGTATCTGACTTTTCATTAATGAGATCAACAATAGTGACCACAGGGAAATGTGAAAAGATTCTGCAAAGTGTGCATTGATATTTAAGGAGTTCACTTTTCCAGCAAAAAAAAAAAAAAAAACAACCCAGGTTTTTAATGTGTCCCAGATCCCTTAGCCTTTCCTTTGTCCTGATTGAGGGACGTTCATGAAAGAAGGGAAATGTTATCTGTGGGATACTTTAAGCAAATATCTAGAAAATAATGAAAACAATGTCAGCACTTCCCATTTATTCACTTTTCTTTCATGCCATCACCTCTAATGAATCAACACTGTTTCCAAGATTTTCTTCCTAGGACCTGACTCTGAGAGACCATCAATTTTATCCTTCAGCTTCCCTTGAGTTCTCTCCAGACTCTAATCAGATATTCCTTTTCATAACAGGATCTTCAGGAATCTGCTCTTTTTCTTTCTATTTTATGCTAGAATACTCCTAAACTTTGCTCCGTCTCTCCTCACAGTACTTGTCCCAGTCTCAAGTCTCTATCCTCTTGCTTCATTTGAGTCTACCTCAAGTTACAAAACATTCCTGTTTGGGTTCTAAGTCATTATCCCAAGAGCCACAATGGCTTTTACTGAGACCAAAGGCAAGTTCATCCTCACAACTCACAAGTGAGGTGGGTCAAAACAGAGAGAAGTTTGGCAAAGGAGATAAAAACCAAGTAGAGAAATAATTCCAAACTTTATCTTAGGAGAACTGAATCCTCGTTTCTGGCCTGCCATGACCATAACCAATATCAGACAACAAATGCTGAACAGCAACCCACATTTGGCATTGGATAAGTTACTAAACCTCTCTTTACTTCTGCTCGCCAATCTGTCACACACAAACAGTACTGCTCGCTCCTAAAAGGTATCAGAACAAGAAGAGCTTTCCTTGCTAAAAAACAAAACAAAAAAAGTGTCTTAAAATAATATGAAAAAAAAAAAAGAAAAAATAAATCCCTTAACCAACTTATAAAAAACAGAGATCCAGGCCTGGTATCAGATGTTGATCATGTGTCTAACCAAATAATTCACTAAATCAGGGAGGGGGAAATTGGAGGGGCATTACTGTATAACCAGAAATCTGGGCTGGAACTGTAACTCCCAGTTAGCTCTGGCACGACCCAACACAGTGCCAGTGCCAAGCGTAGCGGTGCAGGTTATACGACCAAGCCCCCCTCCCCCCAAATCTAGAGTGAGTTTATTGGAGGCTACCACCAGGATCCGGCCTTGGCAACGAGGAGCATACAGGCGTAAACGATTAAACTTAAGGATGGCTCGTCCAGCCCCAAGATTTGAAAACGCTAAGCTCTGTACCAGGGTGACTGACACACTGGCTAGCTCGGCTTCGATTTCGTACGAAGTCTGCCCTCGGGGTAGCATTCCGAAGCCCTGCGAGATTAGGATCTGCACCTGAAGCCCGGACCACGGCCCCTTAGCTGCCACCGCCTCTGTGTGTCACCCTGGCTTCATTTACCCGCTCTCAATCGGTTTCTGCCTCTCACACGCCGGCGGGGACACAGGCCAGCAGGAAGGAACTCTGTGGCCTGGAGGCCAGCCCCCCCCACCTCTTTCCCCTCTGCTTCCCCCCCACGTGAAGCTCCGCTTCAAGGTGCTTGCCATTCTCGGGCCCTTCGAGCCCCGCCGCCCCACCGCGTCCCGTCCCCTTCAGTCCTCCGCACG